AAGCAAAGTGACAAAGAACAACAAAGATCACGGCCATCTCCCCTACCCACCCCGAGCATGAGCGCAGGCATCTTCCCGCCACACCCCCAGCACAACCACGATTGCGCCCATCATTCCTGCACGTGCCCGTCATCCCAGGGCGCTGGGGTGGTGGGGAGAGATGGCGCGATGGGTACAATCGTGCTGGGGGGCGGGGGGAGATGGCCGAGATCACGGTTGCGCTCCTGCAGGAAAGACGGGTGCAATCACAGGTGCACTCCTGCAGGAAAGACAGGCGTGATCGCGGCCATCTCCCCCCTGCCCGCAGCACGATTGCGGCCATCTCAGTCACCACCTAATGCGGAGTTCGCAACCTGAGTAAAAAATTTTATGAAATGTTTGTTCGCGACCTGATTTGGTCATGAACTGAGGTGTTCGTTAGCCGAGCTACCACTGTACTGTCTTCACAGCAACATATACCTGACACACAGCAAACAACCTCCCAATTGTATGAATTCCACAAGGATCTTTCAAGGCGGTCATAAGGCTGGATTTGATTTTCTGCCATATTTAATCTCAATATGCCTCACCCTCATCAGACAGAGACTCACAACTCAGGTGTTCCTCAGACTACAATACCTACCGAAGGAAGAGAATGAATACATCAACAGGGCCAGGCTAATACTCAGGAATAATTTATGACTGGACAGAACTAGAAAAAACAACAACAGAATACCACTTGTCAGATGTATTATCAGTGAGGTACAACTCATTCACAACAATGACACTTCCCTTTAAAAGGTCATACAGAAAACGGTCTAACCTGAGAAAGATACCCACCAGAAACAAGAGACCTCACAACAGAGATAGATGCAGGAACTAGACTGCATTTAAGGTGCTGGTAATGACCTATAAAGCCCTAAATGGCTTGGGTCCAGGATACCTGAAGGAATGCCTTCTTCCCTATGTGCCTTCTCGTCTGAGGCAGAGGTCCTGCTTCAGGAGCCCTCAAAGGAGATTAGGAGGATGAATACCCGGAGGAGGGCCTTCTCTGCGGTAGCGACCAACTATGGAATACACTCCCAGAAAAGGTTTGCCTGGTGCCGACATTATATTCTTTTTGGCGTTAGGCAAAAACCTTTGTATTTTCCCATCATTTTAATGTTTAATTGATTTTAACTGGGGTTTTAGTAATTCAATTGTTGGAAGCTGTGGTGTTTTGTTTTATTCTACTGGTTTTTATTGTAAGCCCTACCAAGACGCTAGTGGTGGATGGGGCACTAAAGTTTTTAATAAATAAATAAATAGACCCTTGGCAGGCTCAAATGCCAGCTCTGCCCCAGTATCAATTCTAGCAACACTATTACAGGACCTGATAACATCATCCACGATACCAGAAGTTCCACATCAACTAATGCTCTGATGTGATATATGTTATCATTTCTCACCAATGCCCTCCTGCATTGTACACTCCAGTGTCTATGCAAAAGAATAGATGTAAATCTGACATAACAAAGGACACAGTTTACAATTCTGTAGGGGAACATTTCAGCCTTTGCAAATGAACTTAAGGTGGGCATTCCTCAACAAAGTAATTCCAAAAATAGAGAAGGAAATGGCAACCCACTCCAGTATCTTTGACATGAAAACCCCATGGACAGTACCAAAAGGCAAAAAGATATGACGCTGGGAGATGAGCCCCTAAGGTCAGAAGGTGTCCAATATGCTACTGGGGAAGAGCAGAGGGCTAGTACTAGTAGCGCCAGAAAGAATGAAACGACTGGGTCAAAGCTAAAAGGACAGTCAGTTGCAGATGTATCTGGTGGTGAAAGGAGAGTCCGATGCTGCAAACATCTGTACTCCATAGGAACCTGGATGTAAGATCCATTAATCAAGGCAAGCTGGATGTGGTCAAACGAGATGACAACACTGAACATCGACATCTTAGGAATCAGTGAACTAAAATGGACAGGAATGGGTGAATTTAATTCAGATGACCATCAGGTATACTACTGCAGGCACGAATCCCTCAGAAGAAATGGAGTAGCCTTCATAGTCAATAAAAGAGTAGGAAAAGCAGTACTGGGATACAGTCTTCAAAATGACAGAATCTCAGTTCGAACCCAAGGCAAACCATTCAACATCACACTAGTCCAAGTCTATGCCCCAACCCTGGTGCTGAAGAGGCTGAAGTTGACCGGTTCTATGAAGGCCTACAGCACCTTCTAGAATTAACTCCAAAAAATGATGTCCTTATCATCATGGGGGATTGGAATGCTAAAGTAGGAAGCCAAAAGATAACTGGAATAACAGGCAAGTTTGGCCTTGGAGTACAAAATGAAGCCGAGCACAGGCAGGTAGAATTTTGTCAAGAGAATAAAATGATCATAGCAAACACTCTTTTCCAACAACCCAAGAGACGACTCTACACATGGACATCACCAGACGGTCAACACAGAAATCAGATTGACTATGTGCTCTGCAGCCAAAGATGAGGAAGCTCTATACAGTCAGTAAAAACTAGACCAGGAGCTGACTGTGGCTCAGATCATGAGCTTCTGGTTGCAAAATTCAGCCTTAAATTGAAGAAAGTAGGGAAAATCCTACAAGCTAGGCTCCAGCAGTATGTGGACCGAGAACTACCAGAAGTACAGGTAGGATTTTGAAGAGGGAGGGGAAGTAGAGATCAAATTGCCAACATATGGTGGATCATGGAGAAAGATAGGGAGTTCCAGAAAAACATCTGCTTCTGCTTCATTGACTATGCTAAAGCCTTTGATTGTGTGGATAACAACAAATTGTGGAAAGTTCTTAAAGAAATGGGAGTACCAGACCATCTTATTTGTCCCTTGGGAAACCTATATGTGGGTCAAGAAGCAACAGTGAGAACTGGACACGGAACCATTGATCGGTTCAAAATTGAGGAAGGAGTTCGGCAAGGCTGTATACTGTCGCCCTGCCTATTTAACTTATATGCAGAGCACATCATGAGAAAGGCAGGGCTAGGTGAATCACCAGTTGGAATTAAGATTGCTGGGAGAAATATCAACAAGATATGCAGATGATAGCACTCTTGTGGCAGAAAGTGAAGAGGAACTAAAGAGCCTCTTGATGCGGGTGAAGGAGAGTGCAAAAGTTGGCTTGAAACTCAACATTAAGAAAACTAAGATCATGGCATCCGGTCTTCTCACTTCCTGGCAAATAGATGAGGAAGAAATGGAGGTAGTGACAGATTTTATTTTCCTGGGCTCCAAGATCACCGCAGACGGGGACTGCAGCCACGAAATTAAAAGACGCTTGCTCCTGGAGAGGAAAGCTATGGCAAATCAAGACAGCATACTAAAAAGCAGAGACATCACCCTGCCAACAAAAGTGCGTATAGTCAATGCTATGGTTTTCCCAGTTGCAATGTATGGCTGTGAAAGCTGGACCATAAGGAAGGCTGAGCGCAAAAGGAATGAGGCCTTTGAATTGTGGTGCTGGAGGAGATTCGTGCGAGTCCCTTGGACTGCAAGGCGATCAAACCGGTCAGTCCTTTAGGAGATCAACCCTGACTGCTCTTTAGAAGGCCCGATCCTGAAGATGAAACTCAAATACTTTGGCCACCTAATGAGAAGGAAGGACTCCCTGGAGAAGAGCCTAATGCTGGGAACAATAGATGGCAAAAGAAGGAGGGGATGGCAGAGAATGAGGTGGCTAGATGGAGTCACTGAAGCAGTTGGTGTGAGCTTAAGTGGACTCCGGAGAAGGGTGGAGGACAGAAAGGCCTGGAGGAATGTTGTCCCTGGGGTCGCGATGGGTCAGACATGACTTCCCGACTAACAACAACAGTTCATCAAGAGCTTCTACACTATTTCCTTCGGTTTGAATAAGGTCAGCAAAAACAAACAAACAAAAACTACGTATCTCTCACCAGGGCAATGGTATGTGTGTTATCTGACGACATCATTTTGTGAATGGCAACTGTTAAGGTAATCATCAGGATCTACTGTTTTGCATTGCAGTTCCTTTTGTCAATTGTCACCTGCACAAAAATTTATGATTTCATGCATCTGATGAAGAGGACAGTGTCCACAAAATGTTGCCAGATTAAGGCTGCAATCCTGGGCCATGTTTAGACAGGAAAAAAAATCCTACAACTCCCAGCATGCAATTTTAACAAAATAAGTCATACACCCGCTAGAATGCTCCAACCATCATGGCTGGCAAATGCATGCTGGGAGTTGTAGGATTTTTTCCTGCCTAAACATGCATAGGACCGCACAGCAAATGCGCTAATGTGCCACATGATTCGTCGTCGTTGTTGTTATTGTGCCATTACACTTATTGGTCTTTCAGGTGCTACAAAACTGTTGCTTTTTTGAGGAATGATTTACAACGCATGTGGCGTCCAAAAGTGGTGAAACTTACTATTTCAATTTGGAGAGAAGTCAGAATTCGCACATTTTAAAACTTTTAAAATCTCCCTGAAACCCCGCTCTCCAAAAGCTGCACACAAGAAGTGCAGTAGTTTAATACTTGCAAAATGCGTTGTTTTTTTAACGTGAGAATTGGAGGACAATTAAAAAATGTTCTCATGACCCTCTTCTGCCGAGTCACAGTCCTCCGTTAGACCGTCTTATTTAATACTACCCCCGTAGGTAGATATAAAACCACAAACCAGAGTTTCATTGTGTCTCAATATCGTCTGCACAAAAAGCAGAGTACAAATAAAAGTAACTTATTCCGACAATGATTCTTCAAGTTCTCAAGGAGGAGGCCGTTTCCCTTTCCAACCATGTTAAGCCCTGCTGTTAACCGAGGATCAAGCTGCTTTTTCATCCACAGCGCATCTCTGTTCTGCCGACATGAACTTCCCGCACGCTTACGCTCTAGCGACTTCCTGTACCTGTGAACCGCAGAGCCAATCCACCCACTTGGTGAGTCTCCCTGTCTTTCTCGTGTTCCCTCCCCAATTTTTTTGCACCCGCCTCCCTCAGAAGGGAAGGAGGTGCCTCTTTCGCTATAATCACGTGACAACTGCATCCGGGCCTTTTGCCTTCTCTCCCTCTTCCCAACATGGCGGCCTCAGGTGAGTGGTGCTCGGCGGGTCATGGGCCTTGGACTCTAGAGAGGCCGGCCGCGTCCGGCTTGACCTTATTCCGACTCCGGGAGGCGGATGGGGCGCCTGTAGGAAGGCGACTGTGTCTTTCCAACAGCCACTCTCGATCATCTCCCGCCGACTAAACCTGAGAAGGCACACACCGTGGCTTCGAACGCGGCAGCGGCCTTCGCTGTTCTAGCTTTGGTGCGCGCCTCCCGCCGCAGGGGGCGGCGGAAGCAGTTCGTGAGTTGGAGTGAGTGACTGAAGAAGTGGGGGGGACGAATGGGGGGGGCGGCGGCAGATGGAACCTTCGACTCTGCTCCAGTGCGCAAGCGCGGTGGCGCGCGTGAGGTGGGGAGGGGAAGAACCTGGGCGGCACCCACGTGGGTGCCGCTTCTTGCTGACTCCCCACTCTGGAGTTGGGGGCGTGGTGTGGCGGAGCCTGGGTTGGGTGGAGTATGCCGTGTGGGATCCATGCATCCTGTCCCGCCTCTTCTACCAAAAGTGCTGTTCAGTGGTTCCACGTTTTTCCACCAGCCTTCATCTCGCCCAGGCCTCTCCCTGCCCCTCCCATACGGAGAAGGAATTAGTAAAGCTAATCGGAAAGTCTTTGGTTGAAATCTTTCCGAGCCATAAATTCATTTGGTGACCCTAGACAGCATCCTGTCTTCTCAGCCTGCCTACTGCCCAGGCAAATTCGTAATGCTTGGGAAGGGAAGAAAATTGGCCTTACCCTGGAGGGCTGTTGTGAGAATCGCTGAGAATGTTTGTGTAGAGTTTTAAACATGCCTAAATTGCTAACCGTCATTACCAGAATTTTATTATGTTTGTTAGTACCCTGTGTACATGTGTAGTCTGTACCTTATAATAACATCCCTTGTTCTCATTTGTGTAGTATGATACTCCTCTTCTCCAAATAGCACATGCCTGTGCTGTCTCAAAATGGCCTTCCTTTTCAAGTTCTTACTTAAGCTGAAATGTGTGTGTATTCTGGCTATCTTCATAGCATTCATTATCTTGGGTGGAGCATGTTTAGTATGCATTGGAGATCATTTTGCCAACGATGTTTCCCAGAGCCCTCCTTGCACAGCACCATAATCTGGAAGAGACTATGGCCTGGTCTTATGCAGCAGAATGATGTGGTAGAATGGACTGCACCATGTCAAGCAAATACTGGGGGAGGTTTACTTTCTTTTTTGAAGAATCTTGTTATAAGTCAAAAACCAGCACAGCGTGAAGCAGGTTGGAGTAGAACCTTTCCTCCTAACATGAAAGTTTCTTAGTTATATGGAGGTCAGAACAAAAACAAAAATCCTGGTAACATTAAAAATGGAATTCCTCACTTGCATTTGGGGGACAGTCGTTTTTACCATTTCATTTTCTTCCATGTATAGCCCAGGGTCTTTTCTCAGTAGTTTCTTCTCTACTGTGTTATGATAAGCATCTTATTTCTCATACAGGATTTGTTTAAAAAATGTGAGGAGTGCTGCAACTATTGTGGTCTGACTTTTGCTGCATATATAGCTTTGTCAGAAGGGAGATGAGCTATGTGGCATATAGGTTATTTCTTCCATTAAATTGGGTTTCTCTTCTGTGTGCACTGCTTCTGTGTTTTGACCAGCATGTTAGCATATTGCTGTTTGCGCAGAAGCTGCTTGCTGTTGGGTCTTGATAAGCCCTTTCCCTCTAGTTGTAGAGTTAATTTAATTCCATTTAGATGTTCTGCCAAGCACAAGTGTCATTTCATAGCGCCTCCAACTAGTGTATTGGATAATGGGAAATACATCTGCTCAAGAGATGTTTTCAGACAATGTCAGGTGTCAGATGATTGGTAGCAGGATAGTTGCTTGTGTATTTCATAAGGTGCAGCTCTTCCATTCAAGGTATCCCATTCCACTCCTCTCTCTTTCTATATCAGGCATAGTTTTATATTAAGGTCACTTGTATGAATCAGGAAAATGTACAGACTCTTAATGATATGGTAACATTCTTGCTGCACACTTCATCATTTGTAACCCAGTTGCTTGTCTTGATTTTTAGTATTTCATGTTTTACTTTTGTCTGGATGGCCAAGAGGATTTATCATAAGGATCTATAATATGATGCACAGACATGCATGGAGATCTTAAGATAAAGGAAGCAGCGTTGCAGTGTCTTCCCATGTGAAACAAGGCATGAGTGATTTTTGAGTAAAGGGAATGTTTCTTTTATCTTTTTCGATATTGTAGGTCAATTCCTCCAAGGCATGACTTCCCCCCAAGTGGTCTATGAAAGCTGATTTCCATATTCTGGCATAGGCTGCACCAAATAGCATTACTCTAGGGTGCAAAGAGGAAATGTTTGCTTGAGTAACTTCTTAGAAGGGCATCAGTGTAATGCTGTAGTAATCCAAACATAACTCCAGTTTAATTTTTCAGTGTGGTTTGTTGAAACACTCGCTGCCAGAAATGCTACTTGTAAATCCCTGTCATATGGGCTAGCCCTTTGCTAGGCTTGCTGTAAAACGGGGCAAGGGGAGTTGTGTAGCAAGGAAGAAAGGTCAAATCATGTTTCTTTTCTTTCTTTTTTGTAACAAAAGTTAGTTGGTTTTAGATTTTTTTTTAAATGCCTTGTTGCCTGAGTTTTGAAACTGCTAGTTACACAACTGGCCCACTTGCTTATAGTGCAAGCTGTGCCCCCTGTGCTTCTCAAAAGACAGCAGACCTTAAATTTGTGGTTCTATTTGTTTTTCACAGCACCATTGCATCATATGAGAGTGATTGCAGCAAGCATTGCTTTCTAAAAGGAGAGCAAATATATTTTTTTCATTTAAAAAGTAGATATTTCTCCCTATAATATCACATTCATTACTACTTTTATTTAGCTCTGCATTCAAACTTTGTATAAGATTAGTTATATGTCTTTTGTTAACTTAGAAACATGCAAATAGGGTTAGACTGAGAAGCTGTGAATGGTGCAAAACTGAGTGCAAAACTGAGAAGCTGTGAGTGGTGCATTCTTGATGAACTATATAGCTAAGTTAAGTAGAAGCTTATGTTTTCTATGCCTTAATCCAGTGTCAAGTGGATAATTTTACTTCCAGTGTAAGGATTTACTTCCCAAGTATAATGAACTTTATTTTGCTCTTCAGAATAAACGTATCTAGTGCCTCAGGTGATATACTCGATAAGCAGTTCCACAAAGTTGTGTTATGTTAGGGTTATATTTCAGCAGCACTTGCTATTTGGCTGATGCTCCTGCCTCAGCTAAGTTACAGAAATAGTATCTATTCGTGACATAGTAGCTTTTGGGTCTAATTTCTGACCTAGTTCCTAAGAATAGGGGATGTGTTGAAGGGTGGGGGACTTGTAGGCTTTTCTGATACAGAGGGTTTTCTGATACAGACATGATCAGGGGTCTTCTGGGCAAAACCTGAGTCTGATCTATGAACAAGAACTGGTATTGGTTTATGGATATGCTGTACCAGCAAGAAGAGCTGTCTTCATCTGTGTGGCTTATTCATTGTTGTTCTTGAGCTTTGACAGGGTTGGTAAAGTATAAACAGCTCTGTTTGTCTTTGTAGTAAGACAAACCATTTCTGGTTTGTCATCATACCATTTCTGTGCATAGGAGTTGTCAGCCATTTGATGCACACTGAGCCTGCAGGTTCTTGAGTCAAGTGTCTAGTAATTAGTACTGTTTCTGCTGTCACTGGGAAGGCCCTACCAGACAATCATTCATAGCAGTGGCATGTGGACAAAAGAGGGGAGGAAATATCTGTATGTAAAATATGTCTGGTTGAAAAAAAAAGAATGCAGCTCATGTTAGAAGTACAGCAGGATTCATTTTCCATTATTATCATTGCATGCAGTCAGTTACTACTGCTGGCAAATATTTTTTATTTCCAAGCTGATGTCATAATACTTTATGTACATGTTCTTGGCAGTTTGAATCTCAACCTTTCTAATAGGACCGATCCTAATGTTTTAATTATCTGAGACTTCTAGATTATAGCAGCTCAGGGAAGCTGCCTAATACTTCTGAAGATGCGTTAAAAATGCAGGCAGTTATTCTATTAACTGTGTTTCCATTGTATTCAGAGTCTGAAATTCTTAGCTTTTGTTAAGGTTGCCATTACTTAACTTCAAAAATAATGGTACCGTGTGTTCAGCAACAGGAAGGCAGAGCCAAACAGAATCTGACAAAGCAGAGGTGGTAGAGTCATGAGTACATCTTATGATTTCTGATTGCAGCCTGAAGGAATATGGAAAAACTGGCTTTTCAGACCCAACATATTCCTTGACATAATAGTTCTTTTTGCTAGTAAGATTAATAAAATGCTGGATAGTTTACAGTCTCAACATCAGTCCTGTAAATTGTGAAGCAAAAAAGGAATAAACCTGGAGGTATACAGGATGCATTATTAGATGGGTTGTAAATAAAGAATATTGACTAGAAGAACACTGCTATTTCACTGGGTAGAAATGTGTCTTAGTTGTATTTTTTCGTGTGTAAGCTAAAGAGCTAGTATGCACAACAATTTTTAACCCAGGATTTGTGGGGACATGCAATGCCTGAAAGCTGCTTCTATTTTCAGTAAACAAAGTCAGATCAGCACCATTAGAGGATGGCAATATTATTTATTTATTTATTTATTAAAACATTTTTATGCCGCCCCATTCGCCGAAGCCTCGGGGCGGCTTACAACATAGATAAAACAAGTTAAAATCCATATAAAATAATCTTAATTAAAACTCACATTATAAAATAAGCCGCCCTGGCCAGATAAAATTCAATTGTATTTAGCAATATGACATGTAAAGCTGGACTGATGGTTTTTTAGGGGCTAAACAACACAGTGATTCACTTGTGGTTTTCTATTCAGTTATTCAATTGATTGATCTCTGGATTGTTTAGTCCATAAGTCACCCATTAGTCTGGGTTCACATGTCATGCTGTCAACTTTCAATCACAGCTATAATATGATGTTTATGGAAGGCAAACAGCAT